GGATTTTATGGTACTATACTATATTTGGGTCATGCAGGATTTTGTCCATCAACAGCATGACTTCAGTGCTTCCACTCCAGTCCGGTCGAGCAGCAGCTTCAAAGTTGCTCAAGCCAGGAGTCTTGGCAGGACTTCCAGGCCAGAGTAGCCCTCAACCTGCCCGACCGAGCTCGAGGCCCAGGTCAAGTCGAAGATCAAAGTAACTGTGGAGCCAAAGTCCAGCATAAAGAAAAAACCTGGCACCACTTCGCTCGCCCTTGGGTGCTAAAAGCAGTCACGATGATTTACACATGCGATTTGGGGCGAGCCCCTCTGACACCTGGCTAAACCATCTGCTATCTGTATTCTTACTATTATTGATATTTGTACAATCATACTATGATCACTAACAACACTATGCTGCTATGCTGTAGTGGATTCCCTTGACTACAGCAGGAGCAGCTTTTGCTCTCATTAGACTTCCGCGCAGATGGTACTGGCTTTCAGAACTCTTCGGTAGGTTCAAGCCCACACATGTTGATTGAGCTGAGGGAAGCCCTCATCTGTCTTGATAATTACCCCGGGGAAGACAGTACCGATTAGCTCAAGCAACCTCTGAACACGATGGACATCAGCAGTCTGATCTCGTCACTGAGCCCGCTGCCCAGGAAATATTCCTCCTGACCTGAACCGACACGCAAACAAAACGGTGTGGCTCCAAATCTGGCCCGTTGCCGGATTGCGCGTTCTTGGTACAGTAGTCTTCCTTTTGTTCGGCTATATTAGCCCTAAAGAACATGATTCTCAATTCCACCGAAATGGTCATGCCTACTACCCGAAGATGATAACTCGCAGAACAATCACGCGCATTCGTGTACCTGGCAAAATAACATACATGAGAACACGGGATGTAACATCTTTCCTCTCAATTTACCCCACACTAGATATGTGCTATGGAATTGGAACGAACTATCTCTCGCTAAGGTCGTCGCCCAGGCTCTGCGCAACTATCTCGAGTCCGAAGACGAGGCAGGCGATCTTGGCAGATTGCTACTGAAATGGTTGGGGGTCTTCCCAGACGAGAATCTTAATCAAGCTCTGTATCCAACAATCCAAGAACTGTCTTGCTACCCGAAACTTGCTGCAGTTGCTGGATCTCACAAACTCGCGCAACTCCGGCAGTGGGACCGCACGCGGCTTTTGCGTATCCGCTTGAAATTTATCATTTGAGATCTCAACATAGGGGTCCAAGAGTGTAGGGGGTTCAGCTCAAAACTGAACAAGCCAACACCGGAAATCCTGCTGGTTGCCATGCACTACTGAACATGGGGGTAAGTACGGTTGGGGCCATATTGGTACACATAGCAATGATACCTAGCAGGCAAGAATGGCATGTGTAGTCGGTAAGCACACCTCACACAGAGTTCGCCCGTTTCAGGCAGGAGGCCATCGTGAGGGCGTTGAAGAGCTCATCGGTCTGCTTGTGCGTGACACAAAGGCCTCGGGCAAAAGAGTTTAGGGTGTAGGAGGGTAAGATGCGTTTCATTGACAAAACTGACTCTGGTCTAGTCGCTTGGAAACATGGGGCCACCGGCTAGCTGTATCCGTGCCACCAAAGCGCAAAATAAACTAGAGAAGTGTCCGCAGCTAAATGCAAGCTTGTTCTGGGATGTGATTCTCCCGCTGTGGCTGCCGTGCGAACGTTCCCAAGTGACACTTAAGAACAAAGATCAAACGATTACACATGTTGACACTACGGAATCTACGACAAGGACTACGCTGATTATGACTAATTACTCCAGAGCTGCTGGAGGCCCTCCCCTGCACGTCCTCCTTCCATTACTACTGGTGCGGCTGCAGCTGCTACTAATTCCTACTCCTCTCTCCTACTCCTACTCCTACTCCTACTCCTCGTGCTCGTCCCAGTCCTCGTCATCCTCCTGCTCCTCCCGCTCCCACCTCCCACTCCTCCACTCCTGTGCTCGTTTGCTCCTGCACTTCTCAACTCCTCTGCTCTTTCTCGTACTCCTCCTCCTGTGCTGCTTCGGCTCATGCTCATAGTCATGCTGCTGCTGCCGCCATTATTGTTGCTGCTCCTGCTACTCTTGCTGCTGCTGCTGCCGCTGCTGCTGCTGCTGCTGTCGATGAGGCAGCTACCAGTCGTACTACTACTACTACTACTACTACTACTACTACTACTACTACTACTACGACTACTACTACTGCTACTACTACTACCACGACTA